AAGGACAGGGGGGCTGAGAGGGCAGGCGTGTGTGGTGCCTCCGAGTCTCTGTGTCTCTCCATGTCTCTGGGTCCATCTATCTTTCCGTGTTTCTGTCTGCATCTGTGTGTGTGTGTGTGTGTGTGTGTGTGTGTGTGTGTTTCTGTTGGTTCTGAGGCCCCACTCCTGATGTTGGGGGTGGCACCTCCTTTCAGCTGTACAGCGGGTGCTCCCCTCATCATCCACCCTGAACCCCTCCAGAGGCCAACCGAGGCCCGTCCTTACCCCTCATCAATCCCGCGCCTCCAGTCAGGCGGATTAAGGTGCACACTGTGCTCCGGCCTATGCTGGGGCCCCTCCAGCCCGGGAACCCTCAGGGTGGGAGCAGGGAGGTGCTACCAGTTCTCTCTGCCATTAGACTGACATCTGCCTGGCCGAGAACAGACTCAACTCTGGCCGAGAACAAGGACAAGGGTCCTGGGGAAAATGGCAGGGAGCCGAGGCTCAGCAGGGGGTCCTGGGGCAGCCTCGGCCCCGGGACCTTGGATGAGGCCTTGGCTGCTGGAAGCCTGGAACACAGACCCAGCCTGGGGGTGGCCAAGCCATGATGACTGGCTGCCCATATTGCAAACCACAATTTCCCTTCAGCCCTTTCTGCCATTGAGTGTGGCAGGCTGGAGGGGGGTGTCAGCTCAGAAGCTGCCTACATCCAAGTCCCACTTCTCCCCTTTCTTGGCTGTGTGACCTTGGGCAGTCCCTTCTTTGAGCTTCTGTTTCCTTTTCTGTGAAATAGGTACCATAATGATTTCTACTCGTGGGGCTGCTGGAAAAACGGAAAAGAATTGCTAAGCTGTCAGAAAACAATGCCTAACAGAGAAAGTGGGGCTAGGAGTTGGCGTTTTGAAGCATAGGTAGGAGTTTTCCATATGGGAAAGGCATTCCAGGCAGAGGGAACAGCATGGGCCAAGGCCTGGAGGTGGGAAATCGCAATCATAATGAGGATGTACAATAACCATCCACGGAGCCCTAGCTCTGTGCCTGGGCCTTGTCTTCAACAACTATGAGAGCACCCTGTTCCTACAGGCAGTTATTTTCGAGCTTCCCATTTTATAGACAAGAAAACGAGGCACAGAGAAGTTAAGTGACTTGTCCTGGGTCACCCAGCAGCAGGCAGCTGAGTTAGGGCCGGAATCCAGGCCCAGTTCTCATACACCACCCCCACTCCAGGCCAGCTGGGGCCGGGTCAGCTGGGTCCAGTGTGAGCAGGGATTCCCCTGGGATAGTGGAGTCGGCTGGAAGCAGGGGAGGCTGGTAGCCTTGACCTTTCCTGGCCCTCATTCAAGGAGGTTGACCAGACTGGCCGACAACGGCTAGAAGTGGGGCTTGAAGGTGTCTGGGGAGGCCTGGAGGCCTAGCTCGCCTGCTGAACTGACGGGGGGAGGGGGTCTGGTGGGGGAGGGGAGGCGCCTGGAGATTGTGCTGACGCTGGCAGAAAACTCTGCTTCAAAATTTTATCAGCTCAGCTCAGAGGAGGTGGGGGTGGGGCTGGGTGGCGAGGATGAATGTGGAGGGGGAGACCTGGACCTGCATGGTAATGAGCCAAGGCAGCCCCTGCCCCCTGCCCTCTGCCTGAGACAGTCACCTCCTCCACTTCTCTGCCTCCACACCCCGCCAACACTGCTTCACTGCTGCCCCCGTGGGCTTGCTACTAATTGGTGCGGGTAGGGCAAGGGGCCGATGGGGTCAAGGTCAAGGAATCAAGGTCAAAACTGGGAAATTCTGTCTGGCTCTCCCTCCTACACACCCTGGAGACCTGGAGCTCCACAGACTCATCTGATCCTGATACCATTGCTAGGAGTCGGCATGGCCCTTCTCCCATTGTACAGAGGGGGGAGACCGAGGCACAGAACTGTGAGACAGCCAAAGTCACGCCGGGGCTGCATGTGGAACACAGACACACAGACAGGAAGCAGCGGCCCTGGCTTTGGCCACCGGCACCTGTGACCTCAAGAGGCTGGACCAATATCTGGCCTCCACATCTCTGCCTAGGCTGCCGGCCACGGGGACACCTTCACAGCCGCCACTGCCCAGCCATCCTGCAGAACTTAGCTCAGCCACACCTCCTCTTCCAGGAAGCTGCCATGGACTGTCTTCACCCTCAAAATCCCTGCTGGTCTCAACCTCAGGCATTTAACCACAGAACCAGCAAACACCCAGCTGAAAGGGCCAGAGCCGGGGGCACTGGGGATCAGAGAGGGTGGTGACCTGGCCAAAGTCACACAGCACCCAAGCTTCCCACTCACAGCACAAACGTGTGCCCTGTTGGGCCTCCGCTGGAGGTCTGAGAGTCAATCAACCAGTGTTCGCAGCGCACAGCCCCAGCACTCTCCCAGCTTTCCCCAACAATCAGATTGTTCATCAACCAACTGTCTCCCATCAGTCACTCTCCTGTCCTCATTCCTGTCCCCAACAGGCCATATTGTGCCCATCAGACCTGGGACAGAGTCTCATCTCCTGAGACGCCAAGGGCACGCCAGCCCCCTCAGACATTAAGGCCTCCACCTTCAGGTTCTCAGGACGTACCTGCTTTCCCATCACACTCTCCTTGAATCAGATCTCCCTCCCTTAGACCTTCACATCGTGTGAGCCTGTCCCCTCCAACCCCCTTGTAGGCCCACTTCTCCCCTTAGACTCCCACTGCGCCCACCTCACCCTTACAGCGCACGGCAGCCTTCTCCTGCTGACCTTGCGAAGGCCAACTCCCCGATCCAACGGCGCGGAGGTTGCCTCCTCCCTCGGACTGTGCCTGGACCCCCCTCCCACATCAGACCTCACATCTGCTGCCTCCTCCCTTTGGCCTGGCATGAGCCCACCTTCTCCCTGGCACAGCGGTGCACCCCACCTCCTCCCAGCTCACCTCTCTCGCGCACGAAGTAGGCCAGGTAGAGGTCGAGCTCCTTGACGGCCACTCCGATGTGGTGCGGCTGCACGCAGAGCACCGGGTGGCCGCACTGCGCCGCCTTGACCAGGCGCTCGCCGTCGGTGCTCTCCAGGGGGATGCCCTTGAAGAGGATGACCATGACCAGGTCCAGCCGCCACACCTTGTCGGCCTGGCGCAGGCAGTCGATGCGGCGCATCTTGCCCTTCTGGTCGGGGTTGGAGAGCACGCAGCCCGGCGCCTTCTTGCCGGTGATGGCCAGCACGAAGTCCTCGCGGCACTCGGGCCGGATGTCCTTGCGCAGCTTGGCCAGCAGCCGCGACGCCCACTTCTGCTTCACCTCGGCCTTCTCGCCCAGCAGCTCGTCCTTCACCGCGCGCTCCTCGTCCTTCGACATCCGCTTCTCGTGCTTCTTGAAGTACTTGCGCTTCCGCGCCTGCAGGTTGAACCAGGTGTAGGCGAAGGCGCGCACGTGAGGCAGCAGCGCCTCGATGAATGGGTGGAACTCATCCTGCGGGCGGGAAAGGCAGGAGGTCAGGAGGCGCTGGGCACCCGGGACCCACTGCCCGGACCAGAAGACTCAGGCCCGGGAACCCCCAAGCAAACCTCAGTAGGCAGAGGAGGGAGGGGCAGGGGACCACTGCAGACCCCTCCACCTCCTGGGGAAAGCTGAGGGGGCCCAGCAGAAGTTCCTGGGGGACAGGTGAGCACTCATTGCCCACATGGGGAAACTGAGGCTTGGATTAGATGGGAAGCCCAGGCCAAGAATGGCATTCATGGCCCGGCCAGCATGGCTCAGTGGTTGAGCATCGACCTATGAACCAGGAGGTCATGGTTGGATTCCTGTCAAGGCACATGCCTGGGTTGCGGGCTCAATCCCCAGTGTGGGGTGTACAGGAGGCGGCCGATCAATGATTCTCTCTCATCACTGATGTTTGTATTTCTCTCTCCCTCTCCCTTCCTCTCTGAGATCAATAAAAATATATTTTAAAAAAGAAAGACATTCATGAAAAACTGTCTTAAACCCAAAACAGGACAAGCTGAGGGTTCCAGGTGGAGACTGATGGGGACCCATTGTACAGATGGGAAAACTGAGGTCGGCAGAGTGAGGATGTCATGGATCCATTCTCTGCCTTCTAGAACTGGGGTTTGAAAGTACCATAAGAACAGATAGTGAATATTTTAGTTGCCACTATTCCACTCTACACTGTAAGTGCAACCTAGGTAAGATGTAAATGACGGCAGAGCGGTATTCCAATAAAACTTTATTGACAAAAACTGGTGGCTGGCATCAGGTCCCAGGCTATAGTGTGAGCTCTACTGTTGAGAGCAGGGCTGAGCACACAGTGGGTCCTCAATGATTGCAGGAAAAACCAGGCTTGGAGAATAATGCTTGGGGCTCCTTTCTCAGACCCACTTCTCAGCAGAGGAAGCTGACACCAGATGGGGGTCCAGGGCTGCCTCTACTGGCCCTTGGCACTGATGGAAAAAATGAGGACAAGGGGGTGTTTCTGAAGAACACATGTACAGACAGACTGGCTGAGGCCCACAGGCCCGACTAGGACCCCTGGATGTCAGGGGCTGCTGGTGGGGGCTCCTGCACAGACCCATTGAAGGAGCCAGGAACGCTGAGGCCGGAGACACAGGTCAGAATACACCGGACAGGGGAGCTCAGCCATGGCGGTTCAGAGCTAGAGAGAGGGGCCCTGGGGGTCAGCTCACCTCCCCCTCCCCACAGACCCATTTCACAGATGGAGAAACTGAGTCTGGGGAGGCTGAGACCGGGCCAGAGCTATGACTTCAACCCCTCCCTCCCATTGTGCCTAATTAGTGTTGCTGGGCCCACAACGAGGAAACAGAGACTCCAAGAGGGGACCCAGTCATGAGGGGCTGGGACCAGACCCCACACCCATCTGACTTTCTCCACAAAAGCAGCAACCCCAGTAGGGCCCCTCGGAGAGCCACATGGGAAGCCCCAGCGCCTTCTAAGGGCATATGAGGACCGAGTCCTTCTCTCCATTTTCTAGCAAGAGAAACAGCCTGCAGAACATCCGGGACCTGGTGTCTGTCTCCAGGAGTGAGACACTCAAGGAGAAAGGAACACAGAGAGAAACATCGGTCCTACTCTTGCCAGGACCATGCCAGGCTTCTTGAATGGGGTGAGATCTCTTCCTGGCTTATGAACCCCATTATCTGCCCAGCTCTCAAAAGGCTGCATTAGCTATTGCTATTATTATGGACATTGTTACAATACTTTGGTTGCTTACAGTCTTCCAAGGGGCAGGAAAAGGCCCAAGGCTTTGCTATCCATAGCGTGATGGGGAAACGGAGGCTCAGAGAGGGGTGGAGACCTGGCCTCGGTCCCCCTCTCAGAGCCTGTGTGAGAAGAACCCAGGACCCTCACCCCGAGAAGGCCACCAGGCCCCTTTCTCAAAACAGCCTGCTCTCTGCCAGGCTGGGTCTCGGAGACAGAAACAGCTGCTCTGGGCTCCTGGTCTGCTTTCCAGGTGGGTGTGGCTGGGCTCGGTCCCCGCTCCAGACCTGGATGCTCGTGGTACCCCCTGACCGGCTCACCCTCCCCGCTCCGGGATTCATCTCCCTTTGAGCCGTCTCCGGCCACGGCCACGGGGTGCTGGGGGGAAGGGGATGACCTCAGGTTTCACCTATGACCGAGGCTCTGAAAATAGCCTCCTGCCTGGCCAGGGCGGCGCGTGAGGGGGCTCAGCCTGGGCGCCCAGTTCCCCACTCCCATGTGCCCTGAAGCATGAGTCACTGAAACAACTGTGGCCAGGACGGCACTTGGGCCCTCCGTGCTGCCCCCACGGCGGACCTGCTGAGGCAGAGGGAGGACGGAGCGGCCCATCCCCTGCCAGTCCGACCCAACCCGGGTTGCCTGTCTTGTGCCTGGATGCCACTTGCCATGCCAGACCCAGAGATGGGGAGCCACTTGCCCAGGGTCACACAGCCAGTCAGCAGAGCAGGGGCCAGAGCCCAGGCCGTCTGGCTGGGGAACCGGGGACGGGCAATCGATAGAGGCTCAGGTCACTGTCCCGCGGAGGGGATGCCAGGGCAACGGTGTGGACGTTGGGCTGTGGCTGCCATCCAAGTTCTGGTGATGACTGTGGCCCTGATAAGAGGGAGCCGGGAAGAGGCCGCTGGGTGTCAGCCAGCAGGGGCAGGCTACGGTCCCCAGACGCCTCTCCTGACCACCATTCTCTCTGGGCACCTCCCCACTTCTGAACCCCTCTCCCTCAGTTCCTGTTCCAGGTCTTGGCTCCCCTTCTCGGAGCCCCCACCCTTTTTCCAGCTCCTTCCCTCTCTGAGCCCTCCCCTTCCTCTCCCCCCTCTCGGATCTCTACACCCTCTCCGGGGAAAGGTGCCAGGGAGGAGAGCAGGGGTGGGAGCCCACGTCACCAGTGACCCTAGCTGGTCCTGCAGGAAGGAAGACAAACAGTCCGTAACTGGGTCAAGGACCTGCTGCCCCAGCCTCCCTTGTCCTCCCAGGGAGGTCAGACTAGATGAGAGGCAGGCCTGTCACTCGCTTTGTCCCACAAGACCTGCAACAACCGAGGCTTCTTCCGCAGGCACCTCCCGATGCCCTCACTGGCTGACAGGGCACAGGGGGCCGCCAAGGCAAGCTAGACGCTGAGAATCCTCCCACACTCCTACGTATCCCTCAAAGCCCTATTTCCAGGGTTCCTTCCTTCCGGCAGCTCTCCTCAGGGCTCCCTCAGACCTCGCCTGGTCCACACAAGCTGTGGAGTCTGAGTCCAGCTCTTGCTCCTCCTCCAACCCTAAGTCCTGGGGCTGAGGCACTCACCGCCAGGCAGCCCCTGTGGGTGACATTAGCCTCCATTTTCACCTTCGGCCTTGGGCTTCAGTCTCTCATTTTGTACAATGGGCAGAAAGGGATACTGCGGCCTGTTGGAGGTTGGGGATGGGGCGCTTGTCTATTGCCCTGGTAACCAGAGAGTGGGGGGAGATGGAGCAAGACGAGGCCTTGCCCAGAAACCCCACGTGGCCCACTGGCCCTTCCAATGAGGGCAGCAGCAGGTTGGAGGTGGGCACCGGGTCCAAGCCCTTGCTGGGCCCTATGGATTGGACAACTGTGCACTGGGCTGTGCCCCCTCCCTGGGCCCCCCGGATGCCTCCCACCCTGACAGCCCAGGGCAACAAACAGCACATGGAACTCCAATTCCTACTCCAAAAGCGTTCCTGGAAGGATTCTCTCTCCTTCATTCACTCAGCAACTCAACAAACACTGCTGAGAATCTATCTGACCCACCTCCTAAGCGCTTAACCCAAACTCCTATGCATCCCTGAAAGCCCTGATGCCAATGCCCCCTTCTCAAGGGAAAGCCCAGGTGAAATGGCAAACAGCAGAGCTCATCTATGAACGCAGACCCATCTGGCACCACAGTTGGGGCTCCTAACCTAGGTCACTCCTGTCCCCGAGCTCAGAGCATATGTATAGCTCTTATCTAATGAGGGAGAGAGTCATTCAGTTGCTCAACAAACATTCCCTGAGTGCCTACTGTGTGCATGGTGCTGGGGACCCAGCAGTAACCGGGGCTCGGCCTTCACGCAGATCCTGATCTGTGGCAGGGATGGACCTTAAACACGCCAACAAATATGCGATAAAACGTCAGGTTGAACTAAGTGGTTTGAGGAAATGTGAAGGAGTTTGAGGGGTCAGGGGACCCCTTGGGGGTTGTGTTTAGCTGGGGGGCTGTCAGGAAGGGTCTCTCACAGGACAGGACACTTGAAGGAAGACCTGAAAGGTGACAACCCCAAGCAGGAGCTTCCCAGGCGGAGAAAACAGCACCAGCGCAGGCAAAGGTCTGGAGGCAGGACCGCGCCTCACGTTCGATGGAAACAGTGAGGAGGCAGTGAAACTACGGCCCAGTGAAGTGAACAAGAGGGAGAGGAGAGGCGCTGAGGGCAGGGAGGGGACCCAGGCGGGTTGTGCAGGACCTTACAGGCCAGGCCAAGGAGAGTGAAACATCCTGCCCGACTGACAGGTGAGTGTGAGCCCTGGCTCTCTGACTTCCCTCTCTGGTGTCCCAGGAAGAGGATGGGGCTGAGCCAGAGGACCATGGTGTTCGAGAGAGAGACAGGGAGCCAGGCTGTGCCTCGTGGAGGCTAAGCATTGACTGTGCCCACTGTCTGGGGGGAGAGACTGAGGCACAGAGCACTGAAGCCAGAGGCCCAAAATCACACAGCCAGGAAGGAGCAGAGCTGGGGCCTCCACCAGAGTCCCTGTGACTGTGGACCTCCGGCCTCCTCAACCCCACTGCCGGGCCCCTGGGCACGTGGTCTGACCCATCGGTGGGGCTCCCCAGCGATGTTCACTCTGCACTCCGTATGCGCTCTCTGGATTCTGTGGGACTCCCTTCCCCTGCTCCATCCGTGGCCACCTCCTTGGGGGGCCCACTCCAGCCAAAGAGGCAGCCTGTCACCTTGTTTCCTGCCCCCCACCCCCAACCTAGAATCCACAATCTCGTCCTCTGC